TTCTTTGTCGCACCTTCCTCTTTATGATGCACCAAATGTTCTCTATAGGTGAAAGATCTGGACTGCAGGCTGGCCATTTCAGTACCCGGATCCTTCTCCTACGTAGCCATGATGTTGTGATTGCTGCAGAATGTGGTCTGGCATTATCGTGTTGAAAAATGCAGGGTCTTCCCTGAAACAGATGACGTCTAGATGGGAGCACATGTTCTAGAACCTGAACATAGTTCTCTGCATTAATGGTGCCTTTCCAGACATGCAAGCTGCCCATGCCACAAGCGCTCATGCAACCCCATACCATCAGTGATGCAGGCTTCTGAACGGAGCGTTGATAACAACTTGGGCTATCCTTGTCCTCTCTGGTCCGGATGACATGGCGTCCCAGTGTTCCATAAAGAACTTCAAATCGTGACTCATCTGACCACAGAACAGTCTTCCATTTTGCCACACTCCATTTTAAATGACCCCTGGCCCAGTGCAAACGTCTGAGCTTGTGGAGCTTGCTTAGAAATGGCTTCCTCTTTGCACTGTAGAGTTTCAGCTGGCAACGGCGGATGGCACGGTGGATTGTGTTCACTGACAATGCTTTCTGGAAGTATTCCTGAGCCCATTCTGTTATTTCCTTGACAGTGGCATTCCTGTTTGAGGTGCAGTGACGTTTAAGGGCCCGGAGATCACGAGCATCCAGTAGAGTTTTACGGCCTTGACCCTTACGCACAGCGATTGTTCCAGATTCTCTGAATCTTTTGATGATGTTATGCACGGTTGATGATGATAACTTAAAAGTCTTTGCTATTTTACGCTGGGTAACACCATTCTGGTATTGCTGCACTATCTTTCTGCGCAACAATGGTGGAATTGGTGATCCTCTTACCATCTTGGCTTCTGAGAGACACTGACACTCTGAGAAGCTCTTTTTATACCCAATCATGTTGTCAATTGACCTAATTAGTGTTAATTGGTCTTCCAGCTGTTCGTTATATGCTCAATTTCCTTTTTCCAGCCACTTATTGCTACTTGTCCCAACTTTTTTGGGATTTGTTGACACTGTGAAATTTTGAATCAACATATTTTTCCTTTAAAATGTTACATTTACTCAGATTAAACTTTTGATCTGTCATCTATGTTATATTACGAATAAAATATTGACATTTGCCATCTCCACATCATTGCATTCAGTTTTTATTCACTATTTGTTTAGTGTCCCAACTTTTTTGGAATCCGGTTTGTATAAAGTTGTTCATTTGATGAAGAATCCTTCTTTGTACAATCATCTCCAAAGGTTCTAGAGGAGTCCCCAGAACTGATCCAGCCTTCTTTATGAGCTTGTTGATCTTTTTTAAGTCACTTGCTCTGGTGCTGCTCCCCCAGCAGATGATGCAGAAGAGATTTGCCTTGAAGAGGAAAAAACAGAAAACACACATCAGTATTACAACTGTAAAAGTAACAACACTAGAAACTTTAAACAGTTTATTTCACAATAACCCAGATGTCCACTTTGTCTAAACTCGGACTACGCTACATACAAATATTATAAACCCGACTTAAACCAGGTCGACCCACTTTTATGAACCAAACCTGAACCAAACCTGAGTACACCTGGACACAATCATGGCAAAAATATATATGGCACAGCACGAACAAACTGAGTTTAGACACCAGAATGGAAATGTCTGGAACAAACTTGCAGGTATCTTCAGACACTGGAGAAGGTTATATGAGGACGTCTCACCGCTGATGTCCAAGCCATTCTTTTTGTTAGGTCGGATACACGAGCTCCCCCACGTTGTTTCCACGCGGGATAACAATAAAATAAAAGTCTGTTTTCCATCTTTTTATCACTCCGGCCGTGTGATTGGCCATTACATCCAATAATGCAACAAATTCATACCATTACTTAATTGTTTTAATCTACTTAGATTTAAAAAGATCAGCGAGGAAGCTTTGTTTTCAGCAGTTTTTATGTTTATGCCCTTCAAGATGGCGCTGATATCCCATCAGCCACCGCGCCGCAGACACGGTGACGTCACGTTCCAAAGCTCTATGCTCATTATAAAACTTTAATGGTCTAGATTTAAAACACTGAATGCAGTGGTGCTTTGCTTGTTTTTATAGTGAGCCTTTTATACTTAAAACTAAACTGTGGTACTTTTGTTAAAGTTGTGGAATAAACAGTGTTGAAACAAAGAATGTTGGGATTATGACTCTTTGAATTTAAGATGGGTTGAGCTCTGACCTTTTGATACAGTAAATATCCAAGAACCCATTCTGCACTCTTATTGTCATTGCACCTCAGTGGCGTCAGTTCCTGTGGGTCAGGCTGAGGGCTGAAACCTTTGAGGGGCCCCACCCACTGGAACGTGGCGTTCCTCGTGTATTTTGAGCACAAGGAAGTGCAGAGTTAAGTGCAGCCCTGCTCAGAGATTAGCAAGGGAGCTTTCTGTGAAGGTGTCTGTGCAGCAGGAATTAGATTAAAGGTAAAGTTAGAGCCACTGTTCTGCATGTATGTGCTTCACATGTTCATTCTTGAACCTTTACAGAAGAACAAGTAGTGAATTTATTTAAGCTTAAACCACAAGAAATTAAAGTCTTCATTAATTATCATTGAGCATGCAGCAGGATATTTATAAATATTATTAATATTTTATGATATTTATACCTCGCAGTACGGTAATTTGTGCCCTGCTCCTTCTGTGTTTTGCCAGCTGGATGCCAGAAGCTGAAGCAGCTTTTGAGCTTTGCTATTGGTGGTCTCCTTGGTGATGTTTTCCTCCATCTCCTTCCTGAAGCGTGGGCACTCTCAGATCCTACAGGTGAGTCTCCAGTGTTATAAACTAGAGATGCACCGATCCAATATCAATATCTGTATCGGTACCGATATCTGAAAAACTTCTGGATCGCTGACAATGTGACCGAGCCATTTTCTGATCCAACCTGCAGAGATTTCCGATCCATGATGAATGTTGGCTTCAAACTATGGAATGGATTTCCTGAATGGCGGCGTGTCTCATGGACCCAGAGTAATAAGACCCGCCTCACATTCAGGAAATCCAGTTCATAGTTTGCAGCAGCTACAACGTGAGGGCTGAGTTAGCAGCACTGTGGCTAACAGCTAACAAACTTTTCATGTAAACATGTCGCTGTGTGGAAGTATTTTACACTAAACACCACAAGACAAGAGCAACGTGCACTGTCTGCAGAGCCACAGCGCCACATTAAACCACGTTAAAGTTAGTTTTACGATGGACATTCGAGCTCCGGGGCTTCAGCGGTCTGCTCCTCTCACTGAACCCGTAGCAGGCAGCCCGACCCCGACCAGTCGCGCTCAGTCTGCCCGTCTCTGAGGAGGGACAGACTGAGCGCGACTGACCAAAATCAGGCAGCCTGCTGCGGATTGAACAAGAAGAAGACGTCGCTGAAAGTTGTAGAAAACAAAGGATTTCACAGTTTGATACTTGCAGCCAAGATATAGTTAACCCTCCAGGAGATATTTATCAGTACAACGTAAACAATCATAAAAACATGATTTGAAAATTACAAGAAAATTATTCTATCTATCTATCTATCTGTCTGTCTGTCTGTCTGTCTGTCTGTCTGTCTGTCTGTCTGTCTGTCT